GGGGAGGGCGCGGCCGCAGCTGCGGCGGCGGCGGAGCCGGCGCTGATGGCGCTGTGTGGCGTGGCGGCTGCGGGGGGGCCAGAGGTGGTGGAGGCTCTTGCAAAGGAGCCGGCCGCGCTCGCTGCGCTGCGGCGGGCCGTGAAGCACTGCGGCGGCGATGGCGGCGGCGCTGGCGCAGCGGACGACGCGGCCAGGGCACTCTGCGCTGTGGCGCTGGCGCGGTGGTCGCGCGCCGCCGCCGCCGACGGCGACGGCGGAGGCGCGGACGCGCGCGCGGGCGAAGAGGCGATGGCGGCGCTGTGCTGGGCTGTGCTGGAGAACGGTGCCGCTGCCGGCTGGGCCGCCGGCGACCCGGCCGCATTATCAGCGCTGGTGGGCGCAGTCGGCCTTGGGCGGGGGACCCCCGCCGCGGCGGCGTCGGCGGCCAAGGCGTTGGGAGGCCTCGCGCGGCGCAGCGCCGCGCTGGCAAGCCAGCTGGCTCAGGCGCCGGGGCTGGTGACAAACTTGGCAGGCGCAATCGGCGCCGCCGCGGCAGCAGAGGCGGGCGGCAAGGACGGCGGCGGGAACGGGGGCGGCGGCGGTGGCGATGATGACGGCGGCGGCGATGGCGGCGGCGGCGGCGAGCAAGCACTGGCAGCGGCCGCCGCCAGAGCGCTCCGGGACGTGACCGGGCATGCCGCGGCTGCAGGGGGGGACACAGAGTCGCTGCAGCTGGTCTGGGACAGCCCGGGCGCGCTGCCGGCGATCGTGGGCGCGGTCGGAGGGCGCGGCGCGGCCGCCGAGCACGCGGCGTGGACGATCGGCAACCTCGCTTTCAACAAGGCGTTGGCGGAGGCCCTCGCCGCCGACCCAGCCACCGTGCCGGCCCTCGCGGCCGCCGCCGCGTCCGGCGGCCCGGCGTCCGCGCCCGCGGCGCGCGCTCTGCGGCGCGTGGCGGCGTCAAGCGTGCGGGCAGCATTCTCTGTGGGCGCGCAGCCGGGAGTGCTCACGGCGCTCGTCGCCGCGGTGGGCGGCGCCCGCAGCCCCGCAGAAGCAGCGGCAGCAGCAGCGGCAGCAGCCCACCCGCGGCCGCCGCCGAGTGGCCCCCTGGGCCCTGCCGCCGCGCCGCCAGCCGCGTCGGACGCCATCGCGCTCTCAGACGCGGCCGAGCATGCCGCCTGGGCCCTCCACGCCGTCGCCTCGCGGGGCCGCGACCTGGCGCGCCGCGTGGCGGGCGCGTCCCCACACGCTTTGGCCGCGCTGCTTGCCGCCGCGGGCGCACGCGGCGCCGCGGCGGAGCCGGCGGCGGCGGCGCTGCGGGCCGTGACTCTGGAGGACGAAGGGATCGCCAGGCGCGTGGCGCGGCTGCCGCTGGCGCTCGAGACGCTCACAGGGGTGGTACGCGCCGGCGGCGCGGCTGCGGAGCAGGCGGCCTGGGTGATTGCCCACGTCACTTTGGAAGAGACGGCAAGGGTGAGGGGGTGGGGTGCGGGCGGCTTCAGT